TAATATAAAAATAAATTATAAAAATTAAGATACACAAGATGTTTACTTTATACTAGTACTGATTTACCTCAACTGTCAATCAAAATGGCCAGCTAAAAACAAATTATAATGAATTAATATAAATTTTTAATTTATAAAGTTGTAAAATATCGTATATGTACAAATTGATTTTTAAAACATTTTCACTCTACTTTTAAACCATAAATTATATAATTACCTACGTTTAAATATTTGAAAATTTTACCTATCTTATAAATTCAGACTTTTACAAGAACAAAAATAAAAATAATTTTTCTAGAAGAATTATTTTTAAGAAAACATCGTTGTATAAAAATTAATAATCAGACCAATGGGTAACTTTTTCGATTGTGTATAGTTCTTTTACAAAATTCTAATGACTATTGTTAATATTAAAAATAGATTTGCAGATATTTTGAACAAACAGTGCATAATAAATAGGGATACTGAAATTATTGTTCATAGACAACCTTTAAATTAAGAATTTAATAATATAATATGAAATAATGAATCATTTAATGCAAAATATGATCAAGGATAATATTTTCAAAAAAATAATTAAAATACATAAATTTAATGGTAAAATATGTAAAATAAATAATGAAAACACTTAATAATTAAAATGATAATTATATTTTATTATAAATCAATTTATGATAAATATAAAAATTATATTTATGGTCAATATGAGTAAATTATGTAACTACTTTTATAATTGTAATTAGTAATGCTCATCCAAAAAAAATGTTATTATGTAATTATGTAAATCAATATAATTTGTATTTTTTCAATATGCACAACACTCTTAGACATTTTTATAACATAAAATTAAATTTATTTATATTTTGTTGTGCGTCAATTTTAAGCATTCAAGCAGTACATAAGTAGTATAGCATTATATACTATTCATGAATTGAAACAAAACGTTAAGTAATGAATATAACGAATAAAACAGGAAGTTCATACATTAGCATAATTTATATTGAATGACAGAAACACTGATAGACTACAAATCGAATTCAAATATAATTTTAACGGTGTATACAACTATACTTCTAACGATTTCTGATCAACTGTACGACAATAATTTAAATTTTTTTTTTATCTCTCTATAATATATTATTTTATCGAAATTGTTTAAATTTATAATATATTAATGAACTATAAAAAAGTGGTAAAATATAAGAAGAATATATTTATATTATTGTATTTATAAATTTAAAGAAACTAAAGTAATATCGTTGGGATCTTGGAAATTTCTGTGGAAAATTATATATTATAACCAAGGGTGGACAAGTTAATGATATTTTTTAACTCAGTTAAGTTAAATTAATTGAGATCATGTTCAATTAAGTTAATTCATATGAGACTTACATAAATTAAGTTAAAAATTAATTACCAAAAAAAAATATTATTCACATTAAGCACTGATATAAGTGATATATATATATATATATATTTATTTATTAACAATTTACAACAGATCTTAATTAACATTAATGATAACGAAAATGCATACAAATCTTATTCAAGAATATTTTCTATTTAACCCTAATTACAGTAGAAAAATATACATTTCTTCATTGGGATTTTAAGTACTCAAATGTTAGATTTACGATAATTTATATATGGTTTTTATTTTATTTATTTTTCATATAAATCACATACCTACGATAAAAAGTATATTTTTTAATGTTCAATAACTGTATGAAAACTAAAAGTAATTACTACAGCTGAAAGTATAACTATAAAATTATACAGACAATAAATGTATACAGTAGATACAAAACATTAAAATAAATATATAATATTATTTAACTTTATTAAAATCAAAATATATAAAACAATACAATGGACAAGTTAATCAAAATACTTAATGAATCTCGATAAAACAGTCAACTCAACATTTTGATCAGCTATTGAATTTCTTCTCTTATTTAATAATATCATCGATTATGGAATAATTCTAATAATAAGATAATATGTACCTATTAAAGTAATATAGATTTATGGTCACTTTTCATGACAATGGTAATGTAATTCATGGGTGGCATGGCTATTTTTACTCAATAGTCTTAAGACGGTTGACTACATTTCCCGAGACTGGTGGGTCCCATCATTATTATCGTGATAAATATTATATTCTTATCTAAAAATTCTTCGAAATTTTTATTTTTATATTTTTCTAAATTCCATGAACGCAATATATTACAAAAATATTTTTCTGATCTTAAAAATCAAAATTAATTTAATTGGGATAAATGAAAAAATAATACGTTAATGCCCAGCCTTGCATATTTGTTACATATAATTTTGTTTAAGTTTCGTATCTAAACAACAACAGTGATCATTGAGTTTTTTTTTCAAAAATGTTTATCGACATAATATTATAAGAAGACAAGGATAGTAGATTAATTTGCGTGACGTAAAAATATAATATTGTGGATATTTAACAGTTATTATGGACATTATGGTAGTATGTACGATTACTATCAAAATTACCTGCAATTACGTTGGTAACAATTGGTATGATAGTCGTGTATCAAAAGTATAAATTAGATGGTTACCTTGAAATATTCGGATAGTTTCCGGTGGATAATACAATTAGAATGTAATGACATTATAAAAAGTGATATATTTAATAGCGTACAATGTTTCAATTAATTTTGAAATAACAACTACCAGACTTAAATAAAAAAATTAGTCAAATACTATGGATTTCTAAACAAGAAAATTAAAATAATTTTGAAAATACATTTTTTTAAAAAATATATTTGCTTCTCATAAAATTTAACGAGAATATTCGAAAATATTAATAATCAAAATGAACGAGTTATCATTATTTTTAAGGCACTGAAAATTTGTGTCTTGTACTTAAAATAAGATATTGCATTTCAGTGTAAACTCTAAAGCATAGGTTCCCAAAGTGTGCGCCACGGCGTCCTAGTACGCCGCGATTTATGTATAAGGGCGCCGCGCCGTCATGAAATACTATCAGGTCTAACATTTTTCTTATGATTAGTCATGCTTTGACTTAGAGAAGGGCACCCTGAAAAATCCTTGGATCAAAAGGGCTCCTTGAGTCGAAAAAGTTGGGGAAGCACTGCTTTAAAGTATAAAGTTACAATAGGTACAATCAGTGGCATATTCATAGGGGGGTCGGCCAGAACCCCCCTCATTAACCTCAAATAGTAAATTAACTTATATAGTATCATTTATATATACTTTTTGCCTGAATGGGCGTTAATAAATACGTAACAATAATAATAATATGAAAAAGCTAAATATTAACAGGACAATTGAAGTTAATCCAGAAGAAGTGTTAGATGAATTGGCAAAAAAAAAATGAAAAATTGATAAAGTATTGTAATTAGGTGATAACTATTTTAACTCTGGAAATTCGAATATAATGTATATTATGTATTTTAATAATAAGGTTTAATATTTTTTATCTGTTTAAACACAATAAATTGAATAATTTAATTGTTTCAACATACGCTATTTTTTTACAAATAACATAGTAAATTTAAACTTGCTGACTCCCCCCCCCCAACCCATGAAACGTTTCTGGATACGTGCCTGGGTAAAACTACTCGTATTTAGAATAGGAATCAATAAATAAATTAAATCCATTGATACGATTACAATGTTATCAATTGTATATGAAGAAATTTGAAATTCTAATAAAATCTTAAATGGTATTAACTTAGGTATACAATAATATAGAAAGATACGATAGATACGATAGAAAGTTGAACATGGAAATAATAAGTGTGTATATTTGTTATGAGGATAAAAAATTGTTAAAAATATCTATGCAGTAACAGAGATTCATTGTACTTCATTTTTAAACAGTTACTGTTAATATTAATGGTAAATTATATATTAGTCAAGGGATGATTTCTTTATTAAGTGAAGTTCTAAAGGAAGCCATTAAATCTCTAGACCTTGAAATTTGAACTTGAGTTTTGATCGATTTTAAAATAGCCGTAAACTCAAGTATTTTCACCAGGAGTATAAACGTATCTATAATTTACGTATTCATGTAAGTATTCATTTTGTATATATGACTTGAATCTTGTGAATATTTAAAGTATTTAAAGCTTGAATAATTTAACTCCTTTAATTTGTTTTATTTTTTTAATTCAGAAAAACCTTTTTGAAAATATTTTACGATAAAAAAATAAGGCTATGTATTTTTATAATAAAGGATTAATGATCTTAAAACAAGTACAATAAATTCTTTACAATATAAACCTTCAAGTACGACGTATGAGTGTTTCAATTTAAATTCTATAAATTAATTATAAGTTTAAATTATAGTTAAAAATTAATTAAGAATTAAAAAAAATAAAGTTCATCATTTTAAGACGTTAGTTTAATCTAAACGTAAGTCTGTGGACCCCTAGAAAAGTCCTTGAATACCTCAAAGGATATGTGAAATCATACCTAGGTATTCATAAAGAAAAAAGGAAAAAATATATTTCTCAAAAGAATTAAGTTTTATATTTGGAATACATTCAGTATAATGATTAAGACTATAAAACAATGGAGTTATCAGATGATAATCTATTTTTGTTAACGGGTCTGCTAGTATATTTCTTATCTGAAAGAAGTTGTAGGGGGTGTTTGAAGAACGCTATTAACTATAAACTATAAACAGTAAGTGCTATGGTAAATTATTTGTAATTAGAGTAAATGTATAATGCATTATAAAATAATTAATATTTTGTTCCTTTGATAGTTTAGTTTATGCAAGAAGTTGTATAGTTAACACGTAAAAAACAAACTGAGAAGTGTTTTTGAATTATAGTAATTTTTATTTATTTAGAAGTAGTATATTTAATACTTTAATAATAAATATAATTCAGAAGCTGATTAAAAAGAAACACTCAATAATAACAAAACTCCATTCAAGTAATAATTCCTCAAAATATAAAATAAATAATATCAAGCAAAACTGTTTGATATTTTTAACTTACCATATTCCCCGCATTAAAAGTTCCAATAATCCCGGAAAAACCAAATCATCTGTACCGGCCAGCCATCTACGTCCAAACATTTGCATAGACGGCATCGTGGTAATTCGACGCCCTAAAAATAAAAATTATTTATTAGTGTTTACAAAGACAAAGCAATATTTTGATATTGGTTATCTGTAGGGCAGAGGACTTGAAGCATTTGCATATTTGTTTTGCACAGTCACAAAAATAGCAAAGTACAAAACAAATACGTTTCATGTTTTCACAAAAGTTTTGAAATTTTATTTTGCATATAAATGCATATTTTGAGTCCTTTTTGTTTTTAGGGCATATTTTACACTTCTAAGCGCTATTTTATATTTTTTAAGACATATTTAACTTAAGTTGATTTTTTCCGAAGTGACATTTTTATTTCAAACAATACAGTCAAAATGTTTGGATAAAAATTTATTTATTTTGAATTTTTGTTGTATAATATGGTTTTTGACTATCCGCGGGCACACATTTTTCCTAAAAGTGATAACGATCTAACGTCGTTTCTTTAGAGAAAATTAAGAAAATTAAGTAAAATGTATTTTGTTTATTTGACTAGGGTATATAATATATTTAAATTATGTAATTATTTTGCCTTGTTTTTAATGCTATTTATTTTATTAATAATTTTAAATAAAAAGGTGAAAACATTTTTTAAGTGCATATTATGGGGTATTTCAGTGCATTGAGTGCTTGCATATTTAGAGCTTTTTTAGAGCTACAAGTTCTCTCTCTGTCCTAGTTTTCTGTAATCCCTCTATAACAGGCGACAATTCCATAGTAATATTCTATATAATTACGTTACATGTTACAGAACAAAAGTTAGTCATACACACAATACATAATACATACATCTATACAACCCTACCTAAGTATTTATTAATTTTTCTGTTTCTGGCCATACGAATAAATAAAATAAATGTAATAAATGTTTTATATCAATAATTTTGATTAATATGTATTTTTTACTTATGATTTGGAGTAGGTATTTTTTAAGAATTACATAAATACAATTCATTTTTGTTCTTCAGATAATAAAATATTTGTTCCCATTTTATTTATATGCAACAAAAAAAGTAAAAATATTTAAAAAAATACAACATTTCTAGAGTATAGTAATCTAAGTATTCTGTGAAAATGTCAAGTTTGAACGATTATAATTTTTTAAGTTACGACAATAAAAAAAAAAAATAATTTTGTCGAAAATCGGTATCCCATAAATGTTACCGTTTCTTATAGTAATTTTTCATCTGGTTTTTCCAATTATTTGGAAAGCTCAACAGAATTTTAAAAATCGAGATTCCTAATGCACCAGCCAGAAAAAATTTGCTAAAAATTAACAAGTTAAAAAAACACATATATCATAATATCAATACATAGGTAATACATTCCTCGTTTACAAATTATTATTAATTTTACTGTATAAAACTTCATACATCATCTACAAATGACCCACTTATCGCTTGTTATTATTGTTAATTGTTAATCGCCTTGGAAAGTATTCTATCATCTAAATATTTATTATTTTCACTCAGCCTTAAATTATATGCATCAATGATTCACATTTCTAAAAATAAAAATTATATTGAACTAAAATGATTTATGAAATATTATTATCAACAGTTAGATATATACTAATTGGTAATTATATTTAAGTTGAATAATTTAACATTATCACGGGTTGGCTGAAATATCTTCTAAAAATGTTTTTAGTAAAATTTAACTTAAGTATAACCAATGACATTTTTATTTATATTATTTATTTAATTAGCAAAATGCTATATTTGTATATATAATAGATATACTTGTGAACTCGATTCAAGTTGTAGCTCATTATTATTGAGATTCAAATGATCCAACTAATATTTTATATGAAATTCGGGATAAATCAATATTATTAAATGTACTATATTTTAGGTTATCAACAAATAGATTAAAATGTATAATTAAAATTTAGAACACCACTAGCCCCAAACTAAGTGTGCTTAGAATTTATAATTTATAGTAAAGCTATAGTTAATAAACTAATGGAGATTTATTCAAATAATGTAATTTTAACTAAACAATTAATAATTGCCTGATTATTTTATAATCAAATAAAATTAATCTTATGAAAGGTATGTATCCTAAAATAAAATAAAATTAAGTATTGATATATTTTAAATTGGACAAATGCTGTATTTAATGCCTAATGAGTAATAATTAAATTTAATATAATCTAATAATTAATTTAATAAGGCTTTTAGTGTAAATGTTCTATCAATAATTATTTTTTTAATAATTATAAAACTGTTTTACCGTAGGTATTACTAAAAATTCACAATATTTAATCTTGACATTTTAAGAATATGGACAAAATGATTTTTTGTCACATTGCATAACTTAGCAGTGAATCATAAAATTACATACATCATCAAAAGAAAAAAAAACGCATGCATGGTAATTTAATATTAATTCCTAACTTTTATTTATATTTTAAGCAGTTTTATTTTATTAAACGTATTGTTTATATATATAGTGTATACACTGCATGATATATAATTGTGCTCGACTTGAACGTTAAATTTGAGAGAAATTAATATTTGAATATTGTAAATTGTAGCAAATATGTGTTATTAAGCATTTTATTTGCAAACGTTAAACCTTTTTTTAAAAATGTAAAATAAAAAGAAATTTTGTTGAATAAACAAATACAATATTTCGTAATTGTTATACAATATAATTTAATCATATAATATTTTTTACAAGTTCGCGGAGTTCATGTATAACATAAATATACAATTACTAGAGATAAAAGTAAACACAATACTTAATCTAATATGTATATTACATATAATTTTAATAAGAAATATGTTCAAAAATTTAAAGAATAAGTACGTTTATATAATTATGTATAAAAACCGAAAAGTTTAACTAAATAATTTAACGTCATGTCATTAAAAATATCGAGTCCTTCACTCAGACATACACAGAATGATCATTCTTTAATCAGAGAAGGATAATTCATAACAAGATTATTTGAGATTATTCATTATGCTGTAAGAATATTCTAAGATTGTCAGATAATTAATCGATATAATCAAATAAATATTTTAAAGACATATCTCATTTTGACGAATATTAAGCATCTAAATTATAGTCAGTGTACAATAAGCTTGCAAAGTATAAATAATTTTCAGTTTAAATAACAAATCATATTTCCTTATGAATAATTATTAAAAACATATCCAAAAGATTACACCTTCAAGGTTGTAAACATTTAGAACTGGTTGAATTCGTTTTTGGAATGTTAAGATACAGATTTTTAAATTTAACTTATTATACAATTGTAAAAATAAATGATCATATATTGAAAAAATGATATGAGGTAAGTTTTTTATTTTAAGTTTGTAACTATAATACGAATACCGTAAACGTTTCTATGTAGCAGAGTTTATGCTTGTATTGAAACTAAATAATAAAACGAGTGTTTCTTAAAACGTATTAAAACATTTTTTGTTACTTAATTCGACAATTTTAATAAATTTGAGATGAGTATCGTCAGTTATATATTATCAAAACATAGATATGAATAGACCAATTTGTTTAACTGTTTCTTCTAATTCGTTATATTTATATATTGTAAAGGAGTTGGTTTTTTCATAAATTGCCTAGAATTATCAATAGATTCACCAGTTTTTATCCTTGATTGTACACCACCTTGCTATAAGAATAGGTGAAAAATAAACGATTGTGATACTGTTACATAAATTATAAATAATAACTATTTGTGTAAATAAATCTTTTTAAATTATTCATTGCTTAGATATATACAAAAATATTGTACATAATTTTACCTCTAGTTGTTGAACTTTAGCTTGGAGCGTCATAATACATAATGCGCTGTTTTATCGGTTCTTTACCATTTACGATTACTGCATCTGGAAATAAAAATTTAAGTTAGACACAATATAGATAATTTAGTTTTTCGACAAATAAACATTATTATATGAGATTATCAAATAAAGAAATCAATGAAAATTGAATTACATTTTTTACAGTTTATAAACAGTATAGATGAAAGTAAATAATATATTTCTACAATTTTTTAAGCACGTCTAATAAAAGGGAAAATATTAATTCCGTAACTAATCTTTATTGAAATATGCTTACTTTCTACTAAAGTGCAAAATATAATTATATTTATTAATATTAGGGTTTATTCAACAATGTACCTAAACTATGATAAACAAGTAACTAAATCCAAATAAAAATATATTTTTTATTCATTATTTTAATTGTAAAAATATATCTTTCAACAAATATTTATTTTTTTACATTTAAAACAGTTTTATTGTAATTTTAACGATTAGGGAATAATTTTTTAATCAAAAAACAATTATCAACTAATCTATTTAACTAGTTTCCAAAATGTACAGTGTTAAAACTGTTGAGAATTTGGATAACAGTTTTTTTTCATTGAATTGATATTTTCAATTAGATAAATTTTTTTTTTAATTTTTCATTAAAAATACAGTCATTGGGAATTGTTATGCATTATAGGAAATAAGTAGAGGTGGAAATTTTGACTTAATTTAATGATTTAATTCACTTGACTTGGTTAATTTCAATGGCTTATCCAAACAATGTCTAGTTCATTCAATTCTTATTAACTATATGTTTAATTGACACAACTCACAAATCATGAGCTGACAAAATAATAACATTAATTAGGGAACTGATATGAACTAGGAGATAATATTACAGATATATACAATATTATAAGTATGTTATTACATATAGTACTCACACACTAACCACGTCTAAAAACAATTAATATATATATATATATATATACATAAGTAAAAGTAATAATAAAATTTAAAAAACGCAATTATAAATTTATACTATTCAAATAATACTATAACAAAAAAGTAAAACAAATTAGAATTTCTTTGAGTTTATCTAACTCTATCTAAACTTTGTAGTGTTAAAAACTTAAAGAATTGTAATTCAAATTTGAAAAATTTAAATAATTTTTAAGTATAACATTATTATTATCTATTATAGCATAATATTTTTTATGGAAGTTTTGAAAAATGGTTAAGAATGATTTTGATTTAAATTAAAGTGTCAACATTATCAAATTTCTGTTATACATAGAACACAAATATCGTTTCTTATAATATTTATAAGTTTTAATTAATAATGGAATAGCAAAATAATGCTGAATGCGGAGACTGAATTCTAAATCGGAGATATAAAGTTTCCAGAAAACATTTAGAAATTAACTACACAAATAAGAATTATTAAAGAATAAAGTATAAATACGATATCGATATATACTTGAATAACTTAAGAAAGAACTTATTATCTAGCAGATATAAAGTTTAAGAATATATTTTTTAAATAAATAATGAATGATTTTAAATTACAGGTTCCTATGTAAATCTGAAGTTAGATAATATATTTATTTTATAATTAATCACCGAGGATTTGGTACTGCAATTATTTTATGGTAACTCTCAGTGACAGCGCTAGAGTTTGTGAGATCCTGGGCAAAATTAATGTTGGGTCTTATAATTTATATTAATAAAATATTTTAAGTTCTGTTAAATCAGAACAGCGGAGCCCTGGGCAATTGCCCCTATTGCCCACCCACCCGCGCCGTCCCTGGTAACTATAATAATATAAAAAAAAGTTGGTAAGGTTTTCAATTGCTAATGTACCCAAAAAGTCGATTTGGACGGACATAAATTTAGAATACAATAGATTGTATATTTTCACACAAATAAATCTAAAAATACTGTTCACGATTTCTACGATTGGTAAAATAATATTAGTTTCCATGGACTAAAAGTATTTAAAAGAAGTTTTTAACATCAACTGAAGTATTAACAAATTAAAGTATTAAAATTAAGTTCCTCGAAATGTGATTTGATTATTTACAAGTAATTAAACATAATTCATAAGCAGGACCGTGTTTATAAATTTTGCGCCCTGGGTCAATCATAGTTATACACCTCTCCCTCTAAAAAAATTGATTTATTTTTAATTTTTAAAATTAATTTTTAGTTATACTTCTTTATTTAGTCTTAATTTTTTAATTATGCAGATGATGTTATAAGATTTTTTATTTATTAATAAATGTAGGAGTTATTACTTACAATTTAATAGGTATCTATTTATAATATTTACAAAACAATATTACACCAGGGTACAGCGGTGCCTAGTCACTCTCCTACATGGATTATAATTTAGCTGCCGGATTTCCCCATCGTCCCCCTTAAATACGGCTTTGTTTACAAGGAACCAAACGTTTGGGTAAGTGGCTTATTTTTAACAGGACATTTAAAATACAATTTGGTAGAGATTCAAAACATGTTTGAGTACACATAATGTAAGATAAATTAAATATGTTCAGGTGTTTGAGAATGTTTAGTAAATCTACTACATACATTGTAAAACTTTTTGATATAGGTATACCTTTAATTATAAAAACGAGTATAACTGATATGTACAAAGCAAATAGTCAATAAAAATAAAATTATATTCATAAGAGAATAAACAAACAGACTATTTACAATGACATAATATTAACTTTACTTGCTAATTATAACATATTAACATCAAAAATTACAGAGAAATCACGGAATAAAGATTGTTCTTGTAGTAATAAATATTATTCAAACGATTAGTTCTTATATCGATTTTGATTCAATCAACTGTAGAAATAATATTAGCTTATATAATATTTTTTTTTATTATTCCTATTACTTGTCATACGTAATTACAGTGTACCCAAACGTGTTACGGCCTTCGAAATTCATAAAGTATTATAAACAAATTTCATATTTTGGTACTTATATCTTCGAAAAAAAAAATATAAATTAGGTATGGTTATTTGCTTTTCAGTTATTCCATGGGCTAATTTTACGCAATTTTTGAAGTTGAAAAATATTTTCATTTATATGGAACAAAACCATCTAGTGTTGAATATGGATTAACTATTACTTTAATATGAAAATATACTAGATATTTAAATTTAAACTTTTTAAAAAAAAAATAATAATAATAATAATAATAAATGTGGGTCACCAGAAATTAATCCAAATACGCATACTTAATTATAATATTAATTTTAATATAATTAAAAAATTGAACTTGTTAATACACGGGTTACATAAGTATATTAGGTGTATAAAATATTATTTTTTCTTAATAATTAACAAATACTCAAATACATCGCATTGTATAAAAAACTCATTACTATATACAAATTATTATTTAAACTATTAAATTATTTAATATAATAAATAAATAATAAATAATAAATTATTTAAATTATTAATTAAAACTAAGTTAAATGCGGAATCTCAATTTAGTCATGTTAAGTGATTCATAAAATTAAATACAATTTATACTCCTTTTTAAGTTCTTGACGTAGTAGTGGTAAAATAAAGTTGGTTAAATTTAAATTGCATATATATATATATATGTATAAATGTTCGCTAATATTCTTTTAAAAATAACAGTTTAAGGATGGGTCGATGAATCATAATTTTTATTAAAAAAACCCCAATAAATATGTATCCATTATGTAATAAAGTATATGTTAAGAACCAAGAGCAGCATTCAATCTTCGAAGTAAGGAACAAATGACTAATGAGCAAATCATGATTGGGTGGTAGTGAAAGCAAACCAGATTGTATAAAATTGATAATGATTAGTGGTCACTGTCAGATTGATGCAAGGTCACGGTACAACTATTCGTCGGCCATTATTTATTCGAAATTATATAAAATATTTTCGATAAACTTAAAATTAGATTTTGAGAGGATCAAGAGAATAATAGTTAATACAATGGTCAATAACATTCATTTTTAAGTACCTTTAAAGTTTTACGAGGGTAAATGATTGTTTAAAAATAGTTGGAAGCAGAATTTAAAATACTACTTTGCAAACGTTTTTTATATATTATTAATAAATTATTATATACAAATTGTGTAGAGGCTTGAGATTAAATAATAGTCTTATGAAATGCTGGATTGATTAAATCAAAATTTTTTTAGGCGTATATTTCACTGTAAATAATTACGAAAAATATGAATTAAGTCAAATAAGTTCAGAAATAAATTAATCCAGTTTTTTTGAATTTGATAATAATAAATATAATATTATAAACATTGAATGTGTATGTTGATGACATAGTTGCATCACGTGTTCGCAAGAGAAGGGTGTGCTACTGTGAAAGTTGTTAGATCAGTGTTCACTTCCAAAGGACACGTATAATACGCGCGCACTCACAGATCTCTATAAACATTTAAAAGATGACTACATTTATACAATAAAAAGTGTTTGATAAAATTATAATTATAATATTGAAAGTTAATAAATAAGAACTTATAGATATTTAATATGTAACATTTTTCGAATAAAATATGTGATTATGATAGATAACATAAATACATAGAATACTATTGTACATTTTGAAAATAAAATACAGTTGTATGGTGGCCACTTTCTCGCCACGTCATACCAACATAGCGATAGTTACGTCGTGTTGAGATTTTGTATTGTACCTAAGCATTGAATATTTATTAAAGTTGTCAAAATAATATGAAAAAATATTTTCGTATACAATCAAAATAATATAAAAATAGGTACCTTGAACATAAGAATAAATATGTATAATATATATAGGTATATATTACAAAATTAATGGTTAGCCCTTTTATATTCTTAATGCAAATTTTATTTAAATCGTAAAGCTCATTGCCTTTGTAACCTCAAGGTTAGCATATAATATATAAGCTATTATTTTAATAACTAGTCCAATGAAGAGGTCAAATCTGTTAGTAATAATAATTATAAGATATTAAAGATATTTTTTTCTTAAATTTAACAAACATAGGGTTGGGCGAGTATGGTTTTTTAATGTCAAGTTCGGTCGAGTTTAAAATCCAAGTACTCGAGAAAAGAGTCATTCCAATCAGAATAAAATATCGTTATCATTATAATAAGATATCAAAACAGTAAAAATCTGTTGTTATTAATTTAAACCATTAACCTTCCTGGTTTTTCTTATCGGAAGTATTAGACTCCCAGTTATTGATAGTTTTAATATTTATTTTTCAATAAATCAGTGAAATAAACTAAAATACTTGATTTAAGTCGAGTACCGTAAGTTTATATGAGTACAACAATTTTTTTTTTTTTTTGTAGAGTCGAGCAGAGTACTCGAACTCTACTCAAATTTTTTTTACTAAGTCGAGTACTCGTCCAACTCTAATCAAATACAAGTACATTATAGGACTAAAATGTTAATGGATAGTTGTAACAATAAATTAATTTCATTTAATTTCTGTAATTTCATTGTTAAATGTGGCAGACGAATTAAATAAAAAACATGAATATTAAGATTATATTCATATCATATAAAAGATACATAAGATGATTAAATTACTTATATTATTTATTATAACAAAAAATTGTACAATTCAATAAATTCAACAGATATTATATATGAATAGTTATTATTCAACTAGAATTTCTTCGTATTTTTGTTCATTAATTATGAATAGTCTAATGGGAAATATAGAAAAATGCTCATTGTTTCAATATTTAGAGTTTTTATTATGAAGTATATTATTATAGAGTAATTAATAAACTATTTTTCTACATCAGAATAACAGAATCTGTGATATTGTCAATTTTAATTAATTATTAACTAAAACTAATGTTTTGAAATTTTAATACCTAGCGATAATTATTAGGATATCAATTATTTTCATTCAAATAAATAATTATAATAATTTGCTGCAGAATGTAAATTACTTCTTTAATAAATATTTACAATTTATATATAAACTGATAAGCTATACAAATTATTTGGCTGTTTCAGTAAGACAAGTGCTAATAATGAGATTTAAAAACAATCATTATAAAAAACCATCATGAAATACATCAGATTGAATAGTCGGTATAAGAAAGATTTTGGGATATCATATTTGATTTCAAAAAAATTTGATGTATTTTTGATATTGTCTTAAGAATTACTAATTTATTTTTAAGAGTAGACTTCTAGGTTGTAATTTACAACTAACAGATACCAACTGAATTTATAGGGTTTCTAATACATGATTCAAATTAATAAAAAAAAGACTATTATTTATTTATATTTTTTACAACATAAAAATATAGCTGTATAGTCATATAGATAGTGATTTGTAAATATTTGTAAATATTATCGCACAGTGATATACATATCCATTGCATTACAGAAGTTTTACAACAAGCTAAGTTGATATAAATCAAATTAGTACTTAGTAAAATCAAGAAAATTTTTTAAAAATTTATACTAACTTTAAGTATCTAAGTACTTTAAAAGTTCATTTTTTATAAAAAAAATAAATTTTTACTAATTGTAATTATATTATATTTTCATACCATAAAATATAATATAATTACAATTAAAAAATCAATAATAACAATACAGATAATTATAATACAAATGTCATAGAATAGATTTTGTCAAACGTTGACAAAGTCACAATGGAACAATTGTTTATATTTTTATATGGAATAAACTCATTATTTTTTTAATATTTAACACCAGAGTATCAACAAATTACAACTTAATGGAGATACACTTTTGTTAATTTATTTATGTACCTATTTCAAAATATTTCACGTTTTTTAAATAATTCAAAATTTTAAAGGTTCTAATTTACCAACAGGGGGATTTGTTAAGACCCTTAGTTGAATCAATCAATTAACCATAGATTTAAAATTATAATATTGAGAGGATAACAAAATAATTTTTTTTAAATGTCAGAACTAATTTATTTTAATTATTTTTATGATTACTTAATTTTATATATTAAAAATGTACAGCTTTAAAAGATTTAATTTAGATTTTGGATTATGAATAAAACAATATTACCAACTAATATTTTTTACATATAATTTTCAATACTATTGTAACTGAACATACAATTTATGAGTAAATTAAAAATAAATTATGTTCCTATATTTATTTATTAAAATATTTTTTTTATAAAAATTAGTGAGCGTAATAAGGAATACTCATACACAAACACACATTCATAAACTGTGGAGCTGTTCTCCATCCTCTTGATTTCGAAAATGACTAGTATTATAATAAAGTTAATATTATACTTTATATGATAGGTAAATATTTAGTAATTTTGTAAATAGTTATTGTAATAAGCATCTGAATTTAAAATTAAAACTATTGTATAAATCGAGGTGTAAGTATAATATGAGATACAGTACATTTATAAATATATTTTTTACAAAAGTGGATAGTAGATAATAGATAAAAAAAGATATATGTCTAAGCATGTAATTTGGCACCATAGACACAGGGTGACACCATCTTCTTTGAAAAGTTGACGCATCTGTGTCAAAATTGCGACCTTCGACCCATTAAGACTTTAATATATAATATAATATTATTTAATAATAATTAATTAAAAATATTTTAGACAAAAAAATCCTAAATAATGGAAGTACTCAACTTTGTTGAAGATTTTATCAACAACATGCACAATGTTATGTACATAACATCACCTATTTCTAATAATTCCCTTAATTTATTTATTTCACGGTTATAGAGTATTTTATATTTTTAAAAAGTTAAATATATGAATACAATATTATTAAACTACATGATTAGGATATAAAATGTATAATTTTTTAAGTTAATATTTTAAACTTAAAAATTACACAGGTAACCCTAAATATTTAAAGGATACCTACGTAATATTGCATACATTTATAATAATTAATATATGTCACAAAAACTTTGAGTATATTAATAATGAAAACATAACATTTTACATTAAGCTCTAGAATAGATGATAAAAGTATTGATAAAAGTCAAAGAAGTGTTCATAGAAAATATAGAATATTAAATAAAATAATTGTTTTCCATACAACACTAATAATAATTTTATTTGATATCATTTTACCTTAAATTTTACATAAGTAATGTATTTGAACATTTTTTACTTCATCAGACCAACCACCCTTAAAATATTGAGGCGTTAAATATATTAATTTTTAATAATTATATAGGTATTTTCCCCTTTATTAAATAAAATTATAAATTATATCAATTATGCTGGTAGACAGGTATAAAGATAATATTACATTCTTGAATTTTTATCAAAACAATATTCATGATATTAATAAGGGTAATGTAGATTGAACAAAATTTATTATATTAATATTGATTATACAAAAAATTATACATTATATAACCTAATCATGCAATTTAATAATGTTTTATAAATATGTACAAATATGGAGTAGAATTTACATATGTATGAGTAAATAAAATATAATTTTAGATTCTGAGTAAAGCAAAGGATCTTAAGGTTTTACAAATTTTTCTGTTTCGTATAGAAATATTGATTCAAAAGTTTCATCTAGCAACTTTAAAGATTTGAAATTGGCCTTTGGTGGTTCTTTAGAGAGGTAATTTTACTAAAATCTCAATAATTTTTCCAAATGTAAGGAAAAACAGTTGTTAGTAAAGAAATGAGTTATAATTTCTTTAAAACTTAATACATCCTCACAAACTTAATATTTTTTTGATCTATTGAGATTGTTTTTTTGTTATTGTTATTTATTTTTAAACTATTTTTAATCAAGACAAGTTGAATGAATAGTATTTTTGTGGTTAAACATATTCACTATTGTTTACATGATTATTACTACTGATAAGTATTCTTAACCATAATTTTTCTTTAATAATAGATAAAAATAGTTGAATCATAGTTTTTAGTTTAATATTTTTTCTAGTAAGAATATAAAAGACAATAGTAAACAAATATGAAATAGTAATTTTGTCATAAATATCATTCAAAAATAAGTACCAAGGTAAATTTAAGAAATAATTATTTAATTAGAAATTGTATTTAAGTATAGGAATTCTATCACATGTTAAATCAGTATATTTATTTGTATAATTTTTATGATTGACTAGGTATATAAAAGGCAATTATCCATAAGTATAATATCTAGTATAAATTAGGTAGTATACTAGTTTATTACCAAGTAAATTCTGTCAATTTAATTTGGTCAAAGAATAAAATAAGACATTAGTCTTTATTTATCTAAGTATCTCAATAATTAATTACAACCAACTAAATACATGCACTTAGACTTGGTACCTATAGATAATAGATAAACGCATATATTATTTTATTTTTTAAAGTTATAGGACATATAGCCTGATTGTTATAATTAGAAGGTCAAAGGGTGTATTCTAGGGTTTATTCTTAAACATACAGAAAATATAAAAATTAAGACAAGAAAAAAAAAAACCCAAGTATCATTACGAAATCATCACTTAATATATTAACATATTAAGAAATAGGAAGGTAAGGTTAACAATAATTGATCAACAATCATCAAAACTATGTGTTGTAAAACGTTTTTTCTATTTATAAGTTATATGATGTCATTGTGCGAGCGATGGTCAACAAAAATAACGAAAATAAAAACTAAACAATTATTATTATTGAATAAACAGTACTCACTGAAATTGATTAATCCATTATTCTACAACGAAGACGAAACAAAATATAATCGGATGTGTGTCGACAGTAAATTCGTTTCGCGTTCGATTCTCGTTCGCAGAATATTAAAAACACTGTTGTTGGCGTGTGCCGCGAAGAAAAAAGCTATCGGCAGCGACCTACTTCGGGCGTTAAAAAAAAAACGCATTTATTGCACAAAATTTCTCCAAATAAAAAATAATAATAAAAAAAAATAAATAGGTACGCACATAAAACGCGCACCGATCACACACAAAGACTAAACGAGAATGGCTTGTTCGGAGAAGACGCAGCGCACAAAAGCCACGTGCAAACCGTTTAGGATTTAAATAGTACTGACGACTTGACGGGGGAATGAAAAAAGTTTTTTATTTTTCATAAGCCGCGTAACATTGATAAAAATGACGATTTCAATACGAATCATGCGAGTGTGATAACGATAACGGACTATCAGCGATAACTTCGGCGTGACAACTGTTGCACACGCAATCGCGAAGTAACTAAAGGGCATCAAGAAACGGAACAGAAATCGGACGGTTGCGTGATCGCGCTCGGTGGAGGTGCGCTCGAAAGATACACGACGGAGAACCGCAGCCAGCCATAAAAAGAATCCCCACCGCGAGCACGTCACCGCCACCAGCGCCGCAGTGCCATTTCACTTCTCGTCCTCGTACGGTCACAGCGACCGGCCGTGTCAGGTATCCGTTCGCCGCATAGGTTCAATAATAACAAGAATTTATTTACAGGCAGATATCATGCGCCTCTGTATTAGATTTTATCTGCTAACGAGTGTGTGACGTCGGCAAGTCTCCACGCGTGTTATATGTTGTTATGTATTCTCTCCGACGTGGCCACCGCTGCGCGAAATCGTTTTCTGTGCAACGTACGAAACACATTTTTTCTTCTTTCATCCGATGACGAATGGAACAATATGGTTTAGAAATTTATCGCACGTATAATTATAGAACTATATAGTGTTTGTTGTTGTTGTTGTTGTTGTTGGAAAGAAGACTCTTAATCATTATGGGGTTTCCCTCAAACGTATTGTTAAGTCGACGATTATACTATTTTGAAGGCTGATTTGTGGTTATCGGTATGTATAACTTAAACGCGGTATGTAATGGTGTACCTATGCATTCGGAGGCACAGTGAGCAAGAAGGTATCGATGACACGATGAATGTTCTGAAAATTTAAGTGCTGACTGTTAATGGGCACTGTGTGAAGTCGACGAGGGCGGCCGACTGTGCTGATTCGGTATATAATTTTAGTGATAGAAAAGAAGAACTTCCTTGACGAAAATTCGAATTGTCCGTGTACTACCATTAGACTAATTAAGTATTACCTATCTACCTTACTATCCACCTTCATTATTATATTATTATGTTTATATAGCGAGACGGATTGTTCAAGAGCTGGCTAGTAAGTATGTAGGTTAAATTCACGAATGTTATGTATTGTTAAATTTGGGATTTAGCCTCAACAAAACTTATTCAAGTCTTTTCAGATATCAACTATCCAATTCGATGTAGCTCAAGTCTGGCGAAGGAAGGTCTAAGGTTTGTGTTCTGATATTCATGTACATAAATCACAGTTTTCTACTGAGAGTGTCGGGGTTATAAGGGTTGGTATATAATGTAATAAATAATAATTGGAAATTTAACCTAGCTCGTTCCACACCCAAAGTGTTAGGCAAACTAGTTTAATCTCTGCACATTTGACCAGGATAATTTTAAACAAAATTTTTTTTTTTTTTTTTAAATTTTTATAAACATATTTTAAACATTTAAACATTTTAAAATGAGAAAAGAATTACTATAATTTACTTTTAAAGGACAAAAGGAAATTGCACATAGAACATAAATATTGTATGTTATTTTTTCGCAATATTTATTTTCGAAATTGGTCAAAGTTTGGAATATCTAGGGAATCTTTGTAATCAACACTACGCAATAGTAATCAGTACCTCACAAACGCATATATTTAATTTAAATTAGTAATCAGTTAGTTACTTCAAGTACTATAGTTAATATGAATGTTGACAATTACTTGTAGTTACATATTTGTCTATCTTCTCTAGTCCGAAGGGAGTATTTAAAAAACATGGTAAGCTGATGTGTATAAAATGGGACATTCAATAAAATCGACGTTTTTTATTGTACATATTTTTACAATAGTAAAAATAATACTTGTATACGATTTTATTATAGCTATATAATTATAGCTTTATCAATGGTTGCCACAAACATAATATTAATTAAAATTAAAGAATTATATTTTTTATTAAACTAAATAAAATTAATATTAACTTTAGTAATAGCTAATAAATATGAGTATTAATCAGTGCTGCAATTACAAAATAGGAGGTCCGTGTGCGGTAATTATATTAGGCCCCTTCCTAGAATTTATTTTTGTTGTACATCTTATTTATAAGTATATATTTTTTTAGGTTTTAAAACACGTTTCTCGTCAGTTAGTGTATGATATATGTATATATATAAAATTAAATACCTACAACTGTTGTATATTATTCTTCACTACATATTTATGTAGTAAATTTATTTAAGTAGTTTAGGTAGTTATGTTGTATGCCTACTTAAATACTCAATGGACTCATTGTTAAATAAATATTATATTACTCTAAAATATTATAACATCCTTATCTGAATTTTAAAAAAAAGTTTCTTTTTATTATAAAATATTAATATTATATTATTAAATAATTGTGTGTTTATAAAGTTTAATTTATTTTTGTCTGAGACTAGGGGGCCCCCCAAATGTATGTAAGCCTTGGGACCCGTGTGCACGGCACACTTTACACACTCGGTTATTGCGACACTGGTATTAATTGATAAGTAACAGTTTGCCTTTGAAAGCTCTTATATTTAAAAGTTAATTAAATAATTCATACAATTTACAACAAATACTCTTGTATGAACATTGGAAAAAATTAAATATTAAAACTTTTTTACTACTATACTATAATTTACAAAAAAAATAAATAAATTTACTATTTGACAATTAAAAATTATACATACTCAGTATAATATTTAAATAATTTCAACATTCATGAAATTATAAAAACAGTTATTATTATAATTATTATTATTTGTTTTAAACACATAATGTTTAAATCAAATGTTTAAAACTGTATGATTTAATATAACTAAGTATAATCGCTATACTTTATACATTTTTGTTCTCTTGATTAAAACCGAACAATTATAAATACTTCGATAAATTGAGATGAGTGTTGTTAACGACCATATACACGATCATAATGTTAATGTGATAATATTAGTTTTGAAAGAATATAAAAACAAAACGAATTAAAATGTGTAATAGAGTTCAAGTATAGCGAGAAAAGAAAATGTTAGTAGAGATTTATTAAATCTCACTACAATATTATGTTGTTTAGGGGCCAATTGTAATTTTTTTTTTCCGAAGGCCCAATCATGAGCTAGACCGACATTGTGTAGATTCTTTTATTAGTTGTGTAAGAGATTTTTTCATCATTTCAAATTACAAGTAGTTAAGACTTAAGATTTCTAAGACGCTGAGTTCCGATTACTTGCGTTTGCTATAACTTTTCGCATAATCTAATCGATGTATTTAGGATAATGCAGATAGTCAATTTTGTTTAAAAAGCTTTGTTTTTAATAATTATAACATACAATTCATAAACACATTGAATTTGTATTAACACTTGATTTTTTTTATAAATCATAAGAATACTTATCTTTTAATTTAATTTTATTCAACTTAACATAGAATTTGTGTTTTATTAAATAGCTTTCAGTAGAATTGTAGAAAAATAAAAATAATGTTTTAATTTTAAAAGCATAATATTACAAACATGTTTTTTGAATTTAAAGATAAAATAGAATATTTGGTTTTTACTTTTGAATATAATTATAATTTTTAATTAATATAAATAGTAAGTTAATGCTGTTTACGAACAATGAATTTGTATTGTTACTATAAATGTTACGTTATAAGTAAAAATAACACGGTACATGAATTCATAGGCGTGTTTACAGTAGGGGCCGGGTCGGCACTGCCCACCCCCAGCAGGCTATGCCTCCAACAAAATGATAAAAAAAAGAAAAAAGAATTATTGCTGTCTGTACTCAGTACTAACAGTATCAGTAGAGTATAGTAGTATAATATATGTTTTTATTTTAATTTTAAATATATTTTTATTGTTTTAACACACAAATGGTAATACTTTTTGGGTTTAATTAAAAATATTCATTGCGAGTTTTTTAACAAAAAAAATAATATTTCTTTATGTCTAATAAAAAAAAAAAAATAAGTCTCACCATTTAAAATTGTTTTATGCTTCTATGGTCATCAAAGTCCAAACACACCTATGTATGAATTTGAGAGTCTTATATCAAGTTTCATATATTTAGTAAATGCAATGCATTTTTTGCTAAAAATATATTTTTGAACATAATTAATTGTTATTTTTAAATGTATATTTATAGGCATGACACAATTATATCTATTACATTTTATGATCACATTTTTATATACATTTTACTGTTCTGTATGATTATCGAAATACCACCCTAATATAATATAGCATATATGCTTCACACATTAATAGTTCGAAGAGTAAATGATGAAGGACAAATGATTTTATCTCAGTATCTAATACAGGTTTTTTTAAATAATTCCAATATTCATAAAATAATGGAGTTTTGAAAAAAAAAAGTTGTTTCTAAGTAATAAAAACTTACCACACTCAAATTTAAATAAGTTATAATTATTAATAATCATTCCATCATTAATGCCTAAATTTATAACCCAAGCAACGATGAAAATAATTTATGTCAAAAATCATAATAAACCCCAAAAGTACGTTTATTAAAATAAATGTATAGTAGTATAAATTATAATTAAAATCGAGTAATGTAGCTACTTTTATTTATATATTTATTTTTAAATATTCATTATTTTTACAATACATTATATGATATTTATACCAATACCATGTAAATAATATGATTAATTTAAAATATATACGGTTTTGAACATTAAGCTCTTTTTTTTTTTTTTTTTTTTATAATATAATATTAACATATTATATTACTTGATAAAAAGATCAAAATTTGCATAAGATTGAGAATAAAAATAATAATAATTTAAATTAAAATATTAAAATTGTATTTATTTTAATTTAATTTCAGTTCTATATAAAGAATAAATTACACAATCTTATAATAACTAAACACTTACGAGGCATCGAAGAATGATGAGTAAACTAAATTCAGTAGTTATGGTCAAAAGCGGTAAAGCACGATTGAGCATAAAACGATTGAGCATAGACCTTTTTAGCAACACGATTGAGCATAGAATATTTTATGCGACGTTGCCACATTCACGTTGCCAAAATTTTGTAATTTATTATTTTCTCGTATTATTACACCAATTATTATGATATCTGACGCGAGCCGTGAGCTTTATCGGCTTTATAAATTTTATCGACAATGTTATCGATTAATAAATTAGTTCCGGAGCAAAACGACGTTTTAAACATTTAGCATCGGGGGAAAATATAAGATAATTAAGATAC